AGAGCTCTCGTATCACCCCCACCTGGGTCCCTGTGGCTGACTGTTCCTCCGTCTGGCTTCCTGGCTTTTAATCCCCTTTCTCCTGCTCTTCTGGCCTTCTGCTTTGGGCATCCCTGAGTTGTCTCTCCTCACCTGTATCCCTGGGGCTGAGTATTACAGAACACAGAAAACCTAGAGGACATGATGCAGAGTAAAATCAGCCAATCACAAAAAGACAAATACTGTGTGAGACTTCTACTCTAAAACGTCAAGAAAACGTTTACACACAGAAAGAAACATTCTTTGACGGTTACCAGGGGCCAGAGGGGAACAAAGGGTAAATCACTAACTAAAAGGTAGACATGTATTAACTCAGGTGAAAGGAAAAGAAAGGTAATATACAATAAAGAGGAAGTCAGTACAAAGGACAATACTGGGAGGAGCACAAGAGTTAAAGTAACAAAGGCAAATACTATTACATACACAATCCTGCAATGACGGTAGTAATGATAATCTATCAGCAGACATAAGGAGCTCTGATGGCACAGTGGTTAAAGCATTCAGCTGCTAACCAATAGGTCCCTGGTTCAAACCTATCAGCTGCTCTATGGGAGAAAGATGAAGCAGTCTGCTTCTGTAAAGATTTACAGCCTTGGAAACCCCATGAGGGCAGTTCTACTCTGTCCTATAGGGTCACTATTAGTCGGAATCAACTCAGTGGCAGTGAGTTTGGTTTGGTTATTAGCAGATAGGTAGGTAAGACACGCAAACTTACTAGGTACGTTAGTGGCTAAGTTAGTGGAACCACATCGACCAATGGATATAGGCTTGACAGATGATATTTCTACATATATATCTACATGTGCTATGAATGTATCCATCAATAAAGTAGAACATACAGGGGGCAATGTTTCACTGCTATTGGATAAGGAAGATGACACCTTTGAATCATGGTGTTGGCTAAGAATACTGAAAATACCATGGACTACCAGAAGAAGAAACCAATCTGTCTTGGAAGAAGTATAGCTAGAATGCTCCTTAGAAGCAAGAATGCCAGACTTTGTCTCACCTACTTTGGTCATATTGTCAGAAGGGACCATTTCTGGAGAAGTATATGATGCTTGGTAAAGTAGTGGGTCAGTATAAAAGGGGAAGACCCTCAAACGGGTGGACCAACACAGTGACTGCAATGATGGGCTCAAGCATAGCCAGGATTGTGAGGATGGCACAGGACCAGGCAGTGTTTTGCTCTGTTACACATAGGGTCACTATGAGTCAGAGCCAACTCAATGGCACCTAACAACAACATAGGGGGCAAAGTTATGAAAACATCTCAGTCATAAGCAAACACCTTAAGGGAATGAGTTCTGGGCCTGGGGGCTGAGGATGAAAGTCTCAGAGGACATCTAGGTCTATTGGTATAACAGAGTCCACAAAGACAGTGTTCTATATCCTGTTTTGGTGAGTTGTTGTTGTTTGCTGTCGAGTCACCCCCGACTCATAGCGACCCCTCCTTGGGTTTCCGAGGCAGTATCACTATGGAAATAGGATTGCCCAACCTTCCTTCTGAGGAGTGGCTGATGGGTTTGAACTGCCAGCCTTCTGGTGAGCAGTCAAGTGCCTTAGGCACTATGCTACCAAAGCTCCTGGTTTGGTGAGTAGCCACTGGAATCTTAAAAGCTTGTGAGCAGCCATGTAAGGTGCATCTATTGGTCTCTCCTTGTCAGACCAAAAAAAGAAAATCAAAGACAAAAGGAAATAAGTAGTCCAAAGGACTAATCAATCATGTAAAACTCCAGCCTTCACAACCATAAGACCAGAAGAACTAGATGGTGCCCAGATACCGCTGCTGACCACTCTGAAAGGGATCACAATTGGAGGTCCCAGATAAGAATGGGAAAAAAATGTGGAACAAAAGTCAAAATACTAACCAGAAGGCTGGTGGCTCAAACCCACCAGCCGCTCCTCGGAAGGAAAATGGGGCAATCAACTTCCATAGTGATACTGCCTCGGAAACCCAAGGAGGGGTCGTTATGGTTATTATGTCCAACTTGTCCGCACATAATACAACAAATGACAACAACTGGCCTGATAGAGACCTGTGGAACCCCCAAGACTATGGCCCTTAGATACCTTCAATCCTGGAACTGAACTCACCCCCACAGCTCAATTCTAGCTAAACAACAGACAGGCTTATAAGGGAAACAGTAACACCAGACTGGTACACACTCCTTAAAACAATAAACCATACGAGATCAAAAGCACAGCATTTGCTCAGGGGTAAGGTTTAAAAGGCAGGAAGGGATAGGAAAGGTCGAATAGAAATGGTAAACACAGGGAGGAAGACAGAAGAGTGCTGTTACATTGTGAGGATAGCAGTCAATGTCACAAAGCTAAATATGTATTAATTTTTTAATGGAAAACCAATTTGTTCTATAAACTTTCACTCAAATTACAATAAAAAGTTAAAACAAAAAAAAAAAAAAAAGAGAAGCAGAAGAACAACACAATGGGGTGGGGAGAGTGAGTTTGTGTGTGTGCAGGGTACCCATGCATGTGTGCTCAAAGACCAACTGTGAGTGTTATCCACTCCCCACTTAGTTTGTGTCTCTTATAACAATGTATGCCACGTAGAAGGGAAATGGTACAATTCTTCAAATCATCAAAGGGGAGTATTAATTTTATTTAGTTCTAATGTCATTATATTATTCGATTACTCTTCATTTTTCAAAATCTGAAAAACATTACATTGGCTAACAATATAAGCAATTCAACGCAGCAAACTTCAAGTGTGCATCTTCAGACCTACTTTGACACCTAGGCCCTAGGACCACAAAAGGAACCTGAAAAACTACAGGTTCTGCTCTCAGAGGCCTTCAATTGTCCAGGGCATCAGGCAAGCAAACCAACAATTACGAGACTGAGTAATAAGTGCTATAACAGCAGGAGATGCCAGAGGCCATTGGAAACATGAAAAGAGGTTCTGAACTCAGCCCCAGTAGGGCTATGTCAGGTCCCTGGTTGATGCAAATGGTTTGCTCTTGGCCACTAATCTGAAGGTTGGGAACTCTAACTCACCCAGCGGTGCCACAGAAGAAAGGCCTAGGGACCCGATTCTATAAAGATTCTCACTGCCGGTCGAGTCCATTTTGACTCACAGCAACCCCTCCTTGGGTTTCCAAGGTGGTATCACTACAGAAGTAGATTGCCCAACCTTCCTTCTAAGGAGTGGTTGGTGGGTTTGAACCGCCAGCCTTCCGGTTAGCAATCAAATGCCTTAGACACTATGTCACCAGAGACAGCCAAGAAAATCCTATGGAATCCAGTTCTATTCTGTAACATATGAGGTCACCATGCATTAGAACTGACTTGAAGGAAGTAGGGTTTGGTTTCGGGTTTAGGCTATCTCAAAGATGGGTTAGATTGACAAGAGATAAGAATAGAGTGCCAGGCAAAAGGAATCGCATGTTACAGGCCCAGATATCCTATACTCTCAGGCCTCGCTTGTAATCTGACTTGGCATGCAGCGTATCTGTAAAAGAGTAAACAGGAAATGGGGCTGAACAGGTAGGCAGGATGTCAGTGAAGGAAAATTCCCCAAAATGTCTTAAAATTTCCCCTAACCTTTTGTAAAACCAAAGCATCACATCCACAAAATGGTAAAGTCATGGCAGGTTTCAGACTCTGAAAAAATAGACAAAAATAGATAAAGCCATTTTATGAGTTTCTGACCTCTAATACAAGGAATTTTAATCTTCTACAGATCTGCATGCATGTGGGTTTACCTATACACACACATATATGGATGACAATAAAGGATAACTAAACCAAACTGCCATTGAGTCATTTTGACTCATAGTAACCATATAGGACAGAGTAGAACTGCCTGACCCCCAAGGTTTCCAAGACTGTAAATCTTTACAGAAGCAGACTGAGTCATCTTTCTTCCACAGAGGGAGAAATCTTGGGTTCATACCACCAACCTTTGGTTAGTAGCCAAATGCTTTAACCATTGCACCATCAGAGCTCCTCACAATAAAGGATACCATTTTTGAAATGGAAAAACATATACTCATTTGCTAAGCTCTTCCATGAAAAATAGGAGAGAGATTTATCATTTAAGATTCTGTATGTTTTTTAAACAATGCAAAGATTGGTATTTGAAAGGATATGCTTTGGGGTCTTACCATATGCTAAGATAAAAGGATTCCAGCAAGTTTTTGCCAATAGTTGACCAATTGTTGGGAATCTTTCAATGATTGTACTAGAATCCTGCAAATGAAAATTACATTTTGGTTAGTAAAAGGACACTACGCAATTTAGAAAGAGTGAACTGACACTATACACTGAGAGAATTTGAATATTTCTTGGTTAGTGCATATTCTGTACTAAAAGAGATTAGAGAACTTAAGTTATCCAAATAAAATATAACAAACAACTAGTATATGTCATCCTTAAGCCAGATCACCAAAACCAGGTAAAATGAATTGTTACAATAGTAATTTTATTTCACTTATGCTCAACATAAGGTAAGTTAGGTAAGGCCATTATACTTAAAAATAACAAAGACTACATACTAGCTAAGAAACATTATTGGTGATTCAAAACTATCTATTCCTATATTTTCACCCTGAGTGTTTATTTTAAAATAATAAGGGAAGTTTCTAATTCAACTCCAGTATGGCTATTTCAAAGAAGGTTTTAAAAGACAAGAACTCTGAAATTTGTAAAAAGAAAGAAAAGCAGCCAAAGCATAAAGATATATATCTCTATTTATCACTATTTTGTTTGCTATATATCATACCTAGGATACAGCAACCGAAAACCAGAGACAAAAAAAGATCAACCAAATAGAAAACAGCTTGAGATTAAAATTATACATGCTGTTGTACAGCCATTTTCCCACCTCTTTACTTTCTATGTTTAGTTGAGTTTGAGTTACTTTCTGGGAGAGTTTAAAAAGAAGACCAAACTGAGATAACGTACAGGCAAGCTGGAACAGTGACCATTTCCTGCTGCTGCAGCAGCAAGAAATTCCTCACATTTGTCTCAGCATCAAGGCTGGCCCTAGACTTTCTGGGACCACATTAAGGTCAAGTTACAATTTTAAAAATCAGCACTGGTTGTTCACACAGATTGTATCTTTCCTCCCAGATCCTCAGCACATATGAACTCATTATCAACATGAATTACTCTTCAAATTTCCTACTTGCTTCTTTGACTAAGGGAAGAAAAGCATAACACAAGAATACCTACATTAAATGACAACTTTACTTTTCATTTTGAAATTTAAAAAAAGTATAAATGATATCTTTATTATGATAAAGATTTATTATATTTATTATATTATGATAAAGATTGGACAATGAATAAGGAAGACCGAAGAAGAGTTGATGCTTTTGAGTTGTGGTGCTGGCGAAGAATGCTGAAAGTACCGTGGACTGCTAAAAGAACTAACAGATCTGTCCTGGAGGAAGTGCAGCCAGAATGCTCCTTGGAAGCAAGAATGGCCAGACTTCGTCTCACCTATTTTGGTCATGTTGTAAGAAGGGACCATTCCCTAGAGAAGGATGTCATGCTTGGTAGGGTGGAGGGTCGACAAAAGAGGGGGAGGCCTTCAAGAAGATGGATTGATACGGTGACTGCGATGATGGGTTCAAGTATAGCAGGGATTGTGGGGCTGGAGCAGGATCGGGCAGTGTTTTGTTCTGCTGTGCATGGGGTCGCTATGAGTCGGAAACGACTCGACGGCACTTAACAACAACAACAACAATGATAAAGATACCATTTATACTTTTTAATATAATAAAGATCTTCATAATATAAAAGCATATGCTAATTCATAAAAATATCTACTGCAGCTACGATAAAAATAAGAAATCTTATGTCAAAAGAAAATAAATCAAATTGTGAAAATATAAAAAACATACAATAATGAAACTCAAAATCAGTATTTTTCAGAAGAGACTAATCAAAATATTTATCATCTCTTAGTAGAGCTCACTTTAGTAAGGGATGACGGAAAGGGTGAGCATGTCTGCAAACTCTTCAATATTCAAGGGATGCAAAGGTCTTTATAATCCCATTTGTTGCCTGAGAACCAAGCATCAGAAGCTTGATTATTTGAAAACAATTTGATTGATCAAGACATCTCATATGACCATAGAACTAATCAAGAAGAGACTAATTACCTACAGTTGTGCCTTCAATTTATCTTTCTCATCCAGCAATTCATTAGGTCAATATCATAAACCCTTGACCACAGTTAGCATTCTGGCTTGGGGAAATCTGGGTGAAGAGTCCTCGGTGGTGTAAAATAATTTCATTCTTTTGGTCAACTACTCACCATCTCTTTCAAAGCTTTATACATGCTCCTCAGGAACCTCTGGAACTGAGGCAGGTGAATACAGGTGTCTTGTTGGGCTTCCAAAGTGGAGGCCTGGTCCCATACAGAAAGTTTCTGCATCCAAAACTGATACTCAGAAAAAAGGTCTACTGAATCTTGAGCCATTGCAGAAGGGAAAAGGTGGAGTACCTTCACACTGGCCTGCCAAGCACCAAAGGAAACAGTGTGCACACATCAAATCTACAAGAAGGGGGAAAAATGAAGCATTTTAAAAACGATCTTTTATCAGTACCTTCATGATCCACTGATGAGTGAAAAAGGGATCCCAAAAAAAAAACCAAACTCACTGCCATCAAGTCGATTCTAACTCACAGCGACCCCTTTGGGTTTCCAAGGCAGCAAATCTTAACAGAAGTAGGTTGTCTGGTCTTCATTCCATGGAGTGGTGGTGGGTTTGAACCTCCAACCTCCTGGTCAGTAGTCAAATGCCTTAGGCACTATGCCACCAGAGCTTCTTGAAAAGGGGATTACAAAGGACTGAAATAGCATGACTTCTGTGGTGGAGTCATCATTGAATTATTTTCAAATGTGTCATCCAGCTGTAGTTCTGATTTTTACCATCTGAACTTTTTATCATGAGTAATGTCATTAGACTAAAATGACCTCCACAGGCACATGCTAATTATGTACAAAAAGCACAGCTGATAATGCTTTATATCTTCTTTTTAAGATTGACCTATTTTTAAATATTCTAAATATGAAGTTAATTTGAGTACTTTAGTGAAGTGGGAAATGAAAAACATCCATGGGCGTTTAATAATAGTCTGTGCCTAAGAAATGTTTTTGAAGTTCTTATGTTTTATATGCATCTCTGGCTTCTCATTTAGGTGCAAAAAAAGTCTCTATGCATTACTGTCTAATGAATTTTCTTTCCAGTTTCTATTTCTTAGGAAAAAAGTAAAGTAATGCATTCCACATGCATCAATTTAAACAATCTGCTTAATTTAATTAGACTCCCCTTTATATGCCTGATCTCAATTAATCCACAAGAAGAAACTATATTTTAGTAAAACATGATAAACTCCAATTATTGATGAGATGAACATAGTCCTATTAAACCAAAACCAAACCCACAGCCATCAACTTATTTTTGACTCATAGCAGCCCTATAGGACAGAAAAGAACTGCCTCACAGGGTTTCCAAGGCTGTAAATCTTTACAAAAGCTGACTGCCACATCTTTTTCCTGTGGAGTGGCTGGTAGGATCAAACAGTTGAACTTTTCTTTAGCAGCCAAATGCTTCAACCACTGCATTACCAGGGCACCTTACACAGTCCTACATGACAGGAAATAGTAACTCATAAACTTGACTTACTATACCTAAAGTCATGTTAAAAAGAATAATACAGTTACACAGCAAATCTGTGCCTCAGGTACCAATACCAGTTACCATGAATTCATTCCAACTCAGGGCAACCCCATGTGTATCAAAATGGAATTGTGCTTCATAAAGTTTTCAGTTGCTGATATTTTTGGAAATAGGTCTCCAGGTCTGTCTTTCAAGGCACCTCTGGGTGGACCCCAACCTCCAATCTTTCAGTTAGTAGCTGAACACGTTAACCATTTGCAGTTAGGGGCCTCCAGGTGCCTCAGAGCCCTCCCTCCAGTTGCTCCTGGTAGCACTCCCTTGTCTAAAGCACACAAGGCAGAGAATGGAAAGCTGCTACTCAAACAGGTGCAGGTTTTTAGTCTCATCCTTTCCTGGGGAAGGGATGTCTCTCAGCTATCTCATTTCAAAAAACTACTCTGCAAGTGATAATTAAAGTGAGTTAAGTCCTCAGCAGCCATAATTAACAAGATAAAATGCTATCAATTAAGTACTAAAGAAATACTAGCAAAGGGGTTGGGTTTCCTATTACTAGACAGGAAAGCGGGAAGAAATTTAAAGATGTACAATTTGGCTGCAGTGCAAAAAAATCTAGACTAGGAAATGAAAGATTTAAAGTACAACATAATAATTTACAGTTTTAAAAAGGACCTTGTTAAAATGAAACAAACAAAAAGAGTTTAATAATAAAGGCAATACATGTACACTGTGAGCACAGCACATAACAGCCAAATATTTAGGGTTGTTCCCAGTTCCTTTCTCTCATCATCTCCCTTATGTAAGCCATCACCGATATCTGTCAATTCTACCCCAAAAATACATGTCATTTGATTTGATTACATTCACTTACCTGCTCTGCCGCCATACCTCCACTCTCCTCTCTTCCCTAGACTGTCACACTAGTCCTCTACCAGGTCTGACCTACCCATTCCAGTTGATTCTCTAAGCAGTCGACAAAGACAACTTTTTTTTATTGTCTTAGTCTGGAAGCTCCATTGAAACTATCAAACGCACTGCTCTCGAGTTGAGTAGAACTGCCCTATATGGTTTCCAAGGCTACAAATCTTTAGAGAAGCAGAATGCCTCACATTTCTCCCACAGAGCAGCTGGTGGGTTCGAACCACTGACCTCTTGTTTAGCAGCTGAATGCTTTAAGTACTGTACCACCAGAGCTCCTTTTCCAGATAAAGCAATTTCAAATTTAAAAGGTAAACTCTCCCAATCAAAAAGAAAATGTAAAAGGTATCGTCATGTTATTTGTGTGATATTTAGGTATTATTGACCCATTCTATATAGTAATAGTTTATACACACATATGCTTATTAGGTTCCTGGCAATATAGTAAGTGTTTTATGAATATTAAGGAGCTCTGGTGGCACAGTGCCTAAGGTATCTGACTACTAACCCACTAGCCACTCCGCAGAAGAAAGATAAGGCAATCTACTTCCATAAAGATTTACTGCCTTGGAAACCCAATGGGGGTCACTATAACTCAGAACTGATTTGATGACAGTAGGTTTGGTTTATGTTTTTAAGTATATTAACTCATTTAATCCTCAAGTAACCCTATGAAGTGGGTACTATTATTACATCCATTTTATAGATAAGAAAAGTGAGAGAGAGAGAGGATGCAATTGTCCAAGGTCGGGAAGTAAATGCTAGTACATAGCAGAGATAGGATTGTAGAATTTGAACCCAGAAAATCTGGCTCTAAATTCTGTACCCTTAAACAAAGACACTGAACAGATTAATTTATTATATATCTCATATGGTACAACATGCAGGGAAGTTAAAATATTTGGGAACTATAAACTTAAGAATTTTTTATGAAAGTAAGAAACAAGAAACATTATTTTATTATAACAACATTGCAAACAATCTTTGATGTAGCAATAGCAATGCATCCGATTGTTTTAAATGGCACAGTTCTAGAGATCAGGCAGTGAACTGGTCTTCAGTATGGAGAAACTGGTGGTGTTTTGGATGTGATGAAGGCAGTGTTGGTGAGATACTGAA